AGACTTCAACGGACTTCAGCCGCAGTGACTTCATATTTTCACAAGACTTCAAAAGACTTCAAAAGACTTCATAGGACTTCAAATGACTTCACAAGACTCCAAAAGACTTCTGAAGACTTCAAAAGACTTCTGAAGACTTCATTGGATTTCAAAAGACTTCATGAGACTTCACAGACTTCTTGAGGCTTCACGGACTTCATGAGACTTCAAAAGACTTTATGAGAATTCATAAGACTTCATTAGACTTCATAAGACTTCACAAAACTTCATCGGACTTCACAAGACTTCGTAAGATTTCAAAAGACTTCACAAGACTTCAAGAGGCAGATTCCATGCGTATCAAAAAAACTTATAGAAATTAAATGAAACCTCTATAACATGCAAAAAAGTTTATCATTAAGTAAGGGTGTCATTTACCATGTACTTTATAATAAATACAAATTACTTATCATTTAATTTACGCGTAAATCAAATGAAAAGTAAATATAAACTAACACTCTCATTCATAACGGAGTAACTAGCGTCTTCCGAGCCCTAGGAACAGAATGATATTGATAAAATCAACGTTGAAAATATTATTTTAGCTGCATTTAACCGTGCAAAAGAACTAGTTAATAATTTGAATATATTATCTTCATTAAAGGAATGCAATGCTTGTGAACTTAATGGTTTAAGTAAAAATATATCTGATAGTATTAGATTCAACATTAATTCGGATAATTATTTAGCAACGGATTCAGATTCTTCATAAGATTCTGAATCTGATTATGATGATGGAGCAATGGAAAGTAATGAATTTGATAGTGATCTAATCAATGTAGATGAAGAAGATAAAGATGCGGCAATGACACAAAACTTTGATGAAATTAAAACTGAGAAAATAAATTTTACTGGTATGCGTATACTCGATTCCATTAATCCAGCAATGAAAAACTCCTATTTTCAAGTGCAAATAAATAACAAGACTAAATTTATACACAAGCAAAGGGCTTGTTGGTTATTGACCGACAAAGTTAGCCGCTTATCGGCTGATAGATTATCACGAGTGATAGAAAGAAACAAAAAGGATTGAAAATCTTCATCAGATTGATTTGGATAGATGAAAAATTTCTTATAAAAATAAACCACTTCATTCAAAAAGCATTCACTTATTAATTATCATATTTTCTAAGATCAAACAAACTTGAATTTTTTCCAGTGCATTAAAAAAAAACAATAAAAAGTTCACCTTTCTACTAAAATAAGACCGTCGAAAACAAGACAATTTCATTGGTTTCTTGTGAATTTTCATGCACGAAATGTATTTCAAAGCTTCCAGAAGACTTCAAGAGACTTCATCAGACTTCAAGAGATTTCATCAGACTTCAAGAGACTTCATCAGACTTCATCAGACTTTATAAGACTTTATGAGACTTTAGAGACTTCAAGAGACTTTATGAGAATTCATAAGACTTCGAAAGACTTTCAAGACTTCATGAGACTTCAGTCGTGAAGTCTCCGCTGTTTCCCCCTTGCCATTAAGATCATGAAGTGGTGCGCATGAACTGATCTACATAAATGAAGTATCGAATGAAAATAATGCGAACCATTATATATAAAGATATCTTTTGATTATTAGCCGTTGTAAAATACAACTAGGTTATGGAAACTGAATTGTGAACGATATTTGATGAGATTTTCAAGTATCTATTATTATGATTTTAGTAATAGACTTAAAACTTTCATTCACTTTCTTCTTATATAATGAGTGTGAG